AAATTTCATTCCATTTTAATGTTTCTTTAAATTTGACATAAAAATGAATTTTATTTCCTGCTTCCATTGGAATTGAAATGCCATTCTCAATTCAGCTGTATCTTGTATGACTTTGGATTTACATGATTACAAATTCTAATATTCTTACACTAATATCTGTTTGTCCCTCAGAGGTGTTTCCTGTGCAGATGGAGGGTGTTAGACTAACAGTGAACAAGGCCTTGAGCAACCACTTCCAGGTCAGTCCAGTGTGTCCACTGGTGGATTTTCTTGAGCCATGTTGTTGAAAGAAGTATTCTTGATCATAAACAAGATCATCTCTTGTTTTATTTCATAGGTCAACCACACAGTGTTGTTAAGCACTCTAGGAGATTCCAGTTACAGGTTTGGAGCTACTTATGTGGGGACCAAACAAACAGGACCAGCAGAGGTACACAAATTTAGCTTGCGGTATAAATAAATACAAATATATTTTCCCAGAACAAATGCTGTTGAAAAGTCAGTTTAATTTGAAAAAGGCATTTATCCAAATATGTATAGTTTACCTTAATATTTTTTTATCAGGCCTTCCCCGTCATGGTTGGTGACATGGACAACACAGGGAGCCTAAATGCACAGATTATTCATCAGATCACAGACCGAGTGCGATCGAAATTTGCATTCCAGGTGTGTATTTGTGAAAAGAGCCTATATGTGGTGCTTTTATGATTAGTTCTAATGTAATATTAATGCATTACTGGACGTATTTGTCTAAATCAGACTCAGCAGCAGAAGTTTGTGAACTGGCAAGGAGATGCTGAATTCAAAGGAGAAGATTTCACTGCTGCTGTGACCTTTGGCAACCCAGACGTCTTGGTTGGGTCAGGTAATTGTCTTCTGTTTCATCCATGTTTATTTGTGCCTCAATTTGACAACGTATTTCCTCTCTGTTTCTCTCTCCTCCTGTCCCTCCATCTCTCTCAGGAATTGTTGTAGCTCATTATCTCCAGTCTGTTACTCCGTCGCTGGCATTAGGGGGAGAGCTGGTGTACCACCGACGGCCCGGAGAGGAGGGAACAGTCATGTCTCTGGCAGGCCGATATACAGGTAAGCACAGAAAGAAAGAATAGTGGGTAGGTATGTGACGTATCAGATTTTCATGCCATAATTGAATCTTCTATCATAGTGATGAATTACATTACAAAGTAAGTTGAAAAGATACACAAGTGTTGTCCTCCTAGGCTACATCCACATTAATCTGGATAAACGCATCTTTTTTTCTTTTCTATGCTTTGGCCTTTTGTCCAGTGAAAACAGCTTTCTGAAGACACTCTCCAAAGTGGACACATTTGAAAACTCAGCATAGAAATGCATATTGTACCCATATATAGCTATGTATTTATCCACATACTGTTTTCGAAAATATGGAGATTAATACAGATGTAGCCTTAATAAAATGTATTAACTTTTTTCAAATACCAATAGAGCCTTTTAAATATAATATGCAATAAAAATGTGCAAAGTAAATAGATATTGTAAACAGATTGTTAAAGTGCAATATTTATTTGAAAACAAATATTCAGTCTTAAGTTTTATTACCGAATTTTAAACATCTGAATGGGCATTTGCAAACAGGCAGCAACTTTATCGCCACACTGACACTAGGAGGCGCTGGAGCTCATGGGTCGTATTACCACAAAGCCAATGATCAGGTAAATGTTCATTAGCAGAGTGAGTCATGTCTGTATTTGTTCATTTATGTTGTTTTATTGCTTTATAATGACATTTGTTTTGTTGTTTGGTATTAGTTGCAGCTTGGCGTGGAGTTTGAAGCAAGCACCCGTATGCAGGACACTAGTGTTTCATTTGGATACCAACTGGACGTCCCCAAAGCTGATCTGGTCTTTAAAGGTTGGTAAATATGCATGCATTTGTACATACAAACAGCAGTCATCAACATCTCATCATTTTGTAGGGTTATGATGAATTCAGCAATCCTAAGTTAAAACAAAAAGCAAGAGTGCATAAAGAACTTAATAAAAATGGCTCAATATAAATGTATTAAGTAATTACTTTTACCTTAAACAAAGGGATATTAGGAGGCATTTACAAGCAAATTGATTTAATTTATTTGAATACTAAGAGTACACTAGGTTTTTAAATATTTCTGCTTCAAACTATATTTAATAATTATGGAATAATGTGTTTTTTAAACATTGAATTAAATGCCAGATACAGTTTATGTAACCAAACAAAAAAATTAAAACAAAGGAAAAGAATAATAACCAGAAAAACAATGTTCTGCATAATGCAGGACTTTTAATTATAAACATGCCGAAATATGCCAGGCGTCTTATTTTGATATTCTTTACTTTTTGCTTTGAAACCTGCAGTGCTCAAATAGTGATTTAATTATAGCAAAGCCTTTTTGAAGTTTAATAATCGCATTAATCCTTCTCACATTTCCTGTTAAACTCTTTCAATGATAATTACAACTTTTGTTATATCATCTAAAATATTTAAGACGTTTCACGACGTTAAATTAAAAAAATGAATTCAAGACTTTTTATAGTCTTTTTATTCACACACATACTCTTAAATACATTTTTTTTTTTTTATCTATTTTTAGTCACAAATATGTAATTGTGTCATCATTTATTGAGCAGCATTCCAGTTCAATCTTATTTAAAACATTTGTGTCTTCCAAAGAGTGTTGCCTGATATTCCAATGAAAATCCACCCCGGATACCTTACTTTTTACAAAACCTTTATCCTGTCTTTGCAATCTGCATGAGATTTCTTTGGTTAAAATGTATGGTATATGAATTTTTCACTGTCTCTGTAGGTTCTTTAGACAGTAACTGGGTGGTTGGAGCCACGCTTGAAAAAAAGCTGCAGCCTCTGCCTCTGTCACTGGCCCTCAGTGCTTTCCTTAACCACAGAAAAAGCAAGTTCCAGTGTGGGTTTGGCATCACCATTGGTTAATCCTACCTTCTTTCTTGGTTAATGCTGCAGTTTACACACCAGTGCTGTTGCTGGTGAAACGGTAAAGATTGGACACACTTTGCATATTTATCCACATCTGTACAAAATCAGTCAGTAAACATGAAGCAAAATAAAGTAATATTTGTTGTTCGTTCCATGTATCAGACCAACCTTTGCCGTCCAAAAAAGTACATTTAAAAACATCACTACTGCTTGATGCATTATAAGAGAAACCAAGAACAAATACACATATACAATTTGCCTTTCATTTTGTTGTTTAC